CCCAGAATTCCCCAGCCAGCAAGGCTGGCTGGGGAATTCTGGGAGTTGAAGTCCACACATCTTAGAGTTGCTAGGATTGAGGAATACTAGTTTATACCATCAATGCAAAATGAGTTACTCAGAGGCAGATGCAATCTGTTTCCAAGATATGTGTGTATTTGGGGACCGCAGGGCAGAATGGGAATCTGAGCTAAAAAAAAACTAAGATAAGAATCCAGAAATCTTTCCTTCAGATTTTGCCTTCGCCACAATTTTGTGGGCCTCTGCAATATCCACAGTAATAAAGCTAGATGTTCTTTCAACATTATTGTAAAAATTACAGTTTGAGGTAATGAATGCAAAATGTGTTTTGTACAAATGTCTAGCTGTGTTCACACAGCACACTTATTCAGGGTATTGAGTAAACCCATTTTCTGGATTCACAAAAGCCATAATGTATTTGATTTGCACAACACAATCACAAAGAAACCCTGATGAAGTGTCATAGTAAACAAATCTAGCATGTCATGGGAATTCATTTGCTAGGTCTTACCTGACCTAGTTAAGTGTGTCATGCAGGCAGCTGCATAGTATTAACGGAGCATTCAGGATCTTACATACTTTTTAAACTGGGAAAACAGCAATTAAACAGGCAAGGAAATGTCTGCTCTTCAATCTGTAGAAACCAGCTGGTTGCCCAGTGTTTTGTATCTGTTTCCCCAGGCAAAGACAATCAGTAACAGAGGCATCCTAACTAGTTTGGGGGAGTCTTTGCAGTTGGGGATGGGGGGACCTCAGCAGGGCTGCATCAGAGCTAGGGTTAGGCTCTGACCCTAAATTCCAGGGTTGGCTCCCCAGCTTGCAAACTAGTGCGCTCCCTGCACCAGAGAGCGGCCTCTAAGCCAGTGCCCTGTGGTGCTGCTCCCTGTATAGAAGTCTAGCACTGAACGTGGTGACCTCTGGCACTGAAATAGTGGCCTCTGTGCCCTCTCTTGATTCAGGCCCGTGTGCTGTCATGTCCTTCGACACCTAACCCTGGAAGAGTCTGTTCTGTTGGCCATGGGTTAGTAACATGGGGTCTCTTTTTGCCTTTCTGCATCGCCAGATCGCTGAAGGGCCCAACGCTGCTTACTTTCAGCTGCTGAATCTATTTGCCTATGGAACCTACCCGGATTATGTTGGTAAGAGTCTGCTGGAACTGCAGAAACTGGCTTTGACCTGAAGTAGGTGGTAGCAATATTACCTTTCTAAGCCTTCCCGGCCATTTTCTTTCTCAAAATATCCTGTTATAATTCCTTAAAGGAAGATCACAGTATGCCTGTCGGTTTCATGCTGGTAGACATAATCTGTGATCCAAAATGGCTTCACTTGAGTGCAATGGAGGAAAGGGGAACAGCACCCCCACCTTGTGGGCTTTCTGGGTAAGAGCTGGGTTCTTGGTGCCTTTTGTGGATCTATAATTTACAACCTTTGATTGTTGCTCATCTGCAACCTTTGATCTTCAGTGCTGTAAATGCTGGTGTTTAGAACAGCATAGAATCCCAGGTTCATGCTGGAAGCAAGGCATTTATCTGGTGAAGGTTTCTACGTACAAGTGGTCTTCATTTAATAACCACTTGTTCAGCGACCATTCAGATTTACAACTGTGCTGAATGAGTGGCACTTACAACTCGTAAGTTTGGCGTCCGGATCGTGATTACAACGTCACAGCATCCCGCAGTCACATGATCACCATTTGTGACCTTCTTTGCTGACTTCCTACAAGCAAAGTCAGTGGGGAAGCCAGCAGGAGGTCACAGATGGTGACCAGGTGAAGTCCTTGCTTAACAACCAGGGTGATTCGCTTAACAATGGCAACTGGGAGTACCAGGATTTCTGTCTCTAAGTGGCATGGTCCTGTGATGTTGCACCTTAAACCGTGTCACTTAGCGATGGAAATTCCAGTCCCAATTACTGTCGTTAAGTGAGGACCACCTGTCCTTGCAACTTAAGGAGCCTTCAAGTCCTCTCACTTTGTCCTCCCTTCTCCTGTTGATAACTAAGGATCCCCAGTGATGTGACAACCTGTTCCCCTCTCTTCCAAAAGGGTCCCTGGGTTAACAGTCCCAGTACATTGACATTTGCCAGGGTGTTCAGGGAAATGGAAGAACTCTTTGGCCCGAAATGCATTCAGTTTAATCCATAATCTGGGGTGTTGTTGAATATGATCTCTTGGACAGCGAACCAGAATAATCTGCCAGCTTTGACGGGGGCCCAGAAGAACAAGTTGAAGCATTTGACAATTGTCAGCTTAGCTTCCAGAATGAAGGTAAAGTATAAATACACTCAACAAAACCCAGTTGTTTTCTGCAGGCAGATCTAGTGGCAGATATGCACGCAGAGAAAATCTTGATGGCTCTGCCCTGTTCCACTAAAAACTAAAGGTTTTAGAGGACACTCCTGTTAAGGATTGGAGGCCCTTCAAGGCAGACTTCTTGCAATAGGGAAAGTCGACAAATGTGGGCAAATTGAAACTTGGGTACCTGAAGTATTGCACTTCTCTTTGGCATGGGCTTGGGCGCGTTAGGCACCTTGCTAGTTTGTTTCCTTCCTTCTAGTTTTGGATTCCTAGGTAGCTGTCGGAAAGATGTGCCTGGCCAGCTTCTCTCTTCCTCAGTGGGGGAAGCGGCTCTATTGCTTTAGACCAGGGTTCCCTTGCTTGATCCCCTCCAGATATATTCTGATCAAAAGGTTTACCCCACCCAAGCAATGGAGTTACAGTTTCAGTACAGTTGGAGGACTTGAGGCGGCATTAGATTCCTGTAAACCAGGGTTTCTTTGTGGATAGATTTCAGGGAGTCCATGAACTTGGACAGGGAAGAAATGCCAACTTTATTTCCATTAACTACTAACTAAAATGTAGCTTTTTGTTCCATTGAATGCAGGCCGCTAGACTCCAAAAATGTTTGTTAGCTTTAATAAATCTCACTATCTACAATTATTTGAATTATTTTTTAATATTTTGAGAGCTGTGTTTGAGCATAATTCGTTTCCTTTGTAATGCAACCTTTATTTTATGTATTTAAATGCAATTTCTTGGGAAGGTGTCCATGGCCCAAAAAGATTAGGAACCCCTGCTATAACGGAAGCCAGCCAGCCAGCCCTCTTGTCAGATTTGTGTGGATCATAGCACAGAAGTTATGGGTTAAAGTTATACGAGGGTAGCATGAGGTTCAGCCAAGCACATCATTCTACTTCTCTACTTCAGCCCAATCTTTGTCCATTTCCAAGAGGCTTACATTTGACTTAATATAAGCACCGTACAAACAGCCAAAGGAGACGCATCCTCCTTGCACTTCACCAGTTCAACTTTGCCTTGTCTCTCTTGACACTGTTGACTCCATTCCCATATAGAGAAGCTTTTAGTTCCATCTCCCCCCAATGTTTTAAACTTACAGCTTCATCTTAAGTATCGCCTCCCCTTGGGGAAACCCCCTTCCAAGCTTGATAGGGAGGGTGGAGATTTTTACACGCTGCTCAAAGGCATATTCAAACTTTTCAAAAGCAACAATGCAATTTCCATCTCTTGCCTCTTGAGCGACACTGGACCCTCCCGCTAATGATCAAGGGCTACCTTTGCCCCTCCAAGCCCTGAGCTGGAGCAGAGGCACTTATAACTCTTTCCTTGAGTGGCTGCTGCTTGCAGATTCCCTTCTGAAAGTGGGAGAACCAGGAACCATGGCTGGTCTCCCAGCACCAGTGGGCCTGTTCTGGAATTTCCAATTCCCATGCGCCCATCTCGTAGCTGTCTTGTGGCTAAAGATGCTGAGCCATCATTTGAAAAGCCAAGCTAATTTACCCTGCCTCCATTTTTTCCTTACAACGGCCCTATCCGGGTAGGTTAGGAGTGGCAGAAGGTTATCTTGTCAGGTTTGTAGTGGGGGTGGGGGTGTAACAGTGGTCTAAAGATTAATCTCCCTAGTCCTGGTCCTTACTAACCATTATGTTTCATGTGTGCTCCTGGTTAAAAATGGAAGCTGACAGTCCAGCAGTTAATGGCACGTAAAAGCGCTGGTCCTGCCGGCTCTGAATGCCCAAACATGCAAACCAGTACTCTGGCCCAGAGGAGCCGCTTGGTCTGTGCCTCACCTGGGCGATGGCTTCCATGCTGGCCTTTCCTCCCCCCCCCAGCGCATTCCTTATTCAGTGCTGCTGAAAGACCTGGACGTGCGGAATCTCCGGGAGCTGGAAGATCTGATCATTGAAGCTGTTTACACTGACATCATTCAAGGCAAGCTGGATCAGCGGAACCAAGTGCTAGAAGTGGATTTCTGCATCGGCCGGGACATCCAAAGGAAGGACATCAGCAACATCATTAAAACACTCAGTGAGTGGTAAGTTGTGTCCCTCCCTCCCTCCCCCCTCCATCTGGCCCCATGGTTTGGCCCCCCCCCTCCCCAGTTTCCAGCTCCTCCCTTCTCCCTGTCCGTGACTGTGCAACTGTTGTGTTGGCAGGTGTGATGGGTGTGAAGCTGTCCTGTTAGGAATTGAGCAACAGGTACTTAGAGCCAACCAGCACAAAGAGAACCATAACCGAACTCAGCAACAGGTGGAGACAGAGGTAGGTGGTTTGTGCTACGTGGGAAAACAAACATTAACCCCCATTTCTGAGCCTTGCCGCGCAAACGCTTTGGGGCTGCCCCTCGCCCGCTGTGCTTGGTTCCTTGATGTCCTGTTCCAGAAGCCTCTGAGGTATCCGTACTTTGGCTGAAGGTTGAAAATTCGGCTCAGCGTCGTTCCCATGGCCTGCTGGCCCACAGAAGGCAGCATAAGCTGTCAGGATGTGTGGATTGGGTGGAAACACGCTGACCCGCCGCCCAATTTATCCCTCTCCCCTCTTTCTTAATGCTCTCTTTTATTTCCTCTGCCCCCTGAGGGATGCATTCCTAGCCCAGCTGTTACCCTGACCTTTCTGGGGCTGTTTCTTTAGACTGTATTTAATAAGCTTCTATACTGCTTCCCTGACAATCATATCCTGAAGATATTTATAACAAAATATAACTTCACGGGCAGTTTTCTTCCCTTACTCCTGATTGCAGGAGCAGGATAGTTCACGATGGGGAAAGGGTCAATGAAAAACAATTTGCCTTTCGCTTTTTCCCCATAAATAGGGGTTTTTCTGGAAAACGGTTACTAAAGCACCACCCAGGTCTGTCTGTACGTGTTTGTTTTCAGGTAAGGTGTAGCTGGCCCTCAGTTTTCCCTGATGCACATTTAATGTTAAACTTTCTGAAAGAAGGATACCCCTTGGCATATGGACAGAAGGTCTGAGGGAGGATTATGCATAGGTTCAAGCCGCTCGGTTGACTCCTGTGTCTCGGAAGGCAGCGTTCTGGCCAAATATCAGTGGGGGGTGTACTTTTGGGAATTCTTGATCTGTCTCTCTGCAAAACGTCAAAAGCTGCTGGCTAGATCAACATCCCTCTGTTCCTCTCCTGGCTCTTGTGCTGCTGCTTTTCCCTGGGAGTCTCCGTTATTTCGTTGGCTTGTTCCCCGCTTGTTCCAAGCCTGGTGGCAGCAGTTCCAATTTGCAAACATCAGAAGTCCGTTTTCTGCAAACTTTGTCACACCATCTGTGGATCCTTAAGCTTGGGGCAGGTTTGCTGGCCAAGGTGTTTGCAAAGAATCCGCTTGCATCTTTCAAGGGTGCTTCTTCACAGTCACATCCCTGGCCATCTTCTAGGCATCCTCCAACATCCCAGAACGTGACCGTGGTCTGTGGTAGTTAGTTGTCTGGGTGGGCATTGAGGCAGGGTTACAGCCTACCCCATTATGGCCATGATGGGTGTGAAGTTTGCTGAAAAGCCAAGAAAGGGTGTGGGGGGGGGTCGTCAGACAAGGATGGCTGAGACCATCCTCCCCATAACGGTGCCTGCCCTTAAGATATAAAAGCCCCTTTTGGAGGGGACGTGGTCTTTCCTCCCCTGCTTCCAAATTCATGGGCTCACAAGAAGCTCAGTATCGTTGGGGAAATGAAGCCTTTCCTGACCCCTCACAAGATCCCAGTTACTCTCAGACATCTCCAGTTGCTGAGGAAGCCCCAGTTTTTGGATCTGGAAAGGCTTTGTGAGCGAGGCCTGATGAACATGCTCAGTGTTCATCCTTTTGAACTAGAATTTGGTGTGCAGCAACCTGCAAGGAGGAGAAGATGGCTTCAGGAGGTGACGAGTGTTAACGGCTGAAGGAACGAGCTGCTACTAATCACGTGTTCTTTAGCCCAGGAATTACAGTCAGTGGCAGCTTTGCAAATCCTTGCTTGGTTTTCCCTCAAATTTTCTTTTTCAGCAACCAAAGTTCAGAGGGTAAAGGTTTGTGGTGGGGAAATCCTAGTTAATCTATTGCACAGCCCTTAAAAGTCATCAGTGGACCCTGATCTGCTTGGCCCTAGAGTGTAGATCATCCTGGGTTAGGTGGATCCACGGTGGGTTCTAGTCTAAAGCTATCCTCACGGCCTGCATTAACAGTTGCTGAATTAACCTCTTTTATGGATTCAGACAATCTGTTAAACCACAAACTAGCCAAATGGGCTGCAGTTGCACCCCAGATAGACGAGCCAAACTTAACTGTTTATCCTATGGTGCAAACGAAGGTCTTCCCCTGTCCTAGTTAAGCTGGTTGTCTGAATGCTGCCAGTGTTTCTTTGAGCTGTGCGATCTCAGTTCTGGGAAGATAGGTTTCCCCCGAGAGTCCCGTTTTTGCCTCTGAAAGCCACCCATACAGTGCAGAAGATTTCAGAAATGGCCTTGAAGAAGGAATTCGACAACTGGTTTGTGAGCACCTTAGCTTGGCTAGTCTGGAGGGAGTGAGGAAAAAACTCAAGATTGCCCCATCTTCATTCTTTTTAGTGTAAGAGGGGAGAGACAAAATATCTGTCAGGCTTTAAAGATTCTGTTGTTAATATTAATATAGCAAGAAGGTGGAGTTTCTGCAGTTCCTGCAGTGTTTCTTTCCTGATCTGGTCTACCTCAAAGGGCTGACCGACAGAGAATCAGAGTCAGGCAACATTTGTTGTCTTTCTCTCCTCCATCAGAAAGCAAGGAGGTCCGTCATGAGTGACCAAGTCAAGAGGGGGTCCTCTGCTGCTGCAATGGATCCCTCCGTAGCTCATGTCGAAGAGATGGAGGGGCCTTGCAGTGCATTTCCCCAGAGAAACTTTTTCGCTCCTCTCCTCTCTTCCCTTGCTTTTCCTTTCCTTGCAGGTCCTGAACATCAAGAAGACCTTAAAAGCCACCGCTTCTTCCTCCTCCTCTGCCCAGGAGATGGAGCAGCAGCTGGTCGAACGGGAGTGTCCTCACCCAGAGCAGAGGCAGCCCACCAAGAAGATGTCCAAGGTCAAAGGGCTGGTCTCCAGTCGCCACTAGTGCCCAGAGCTGCAGGAGAAGGGAGGCTGCTCAGGGCTCTCGGTGACTCTGGAGGAAGGGGTCCTGACCTCTTGTCTGCCTGCCTGCCCCCTCGCCCCCCACCCAAGGGCCTCCTTCCATCAGCTTCTGGGCCAGTGGAGTTTTGAGGCCAGGAGCCCCAGGCCCAGCTGGCTCCAGACCTCAGCCTCCATGGGAAGCGGCCAGCTTTTCATAAGGACTTGTGGGTCCCCGTATTTTGCCAGTGCAGAGGCAGGTGCTGAATAAGGAGGTGGCAACCTTTGTGGTCGTTCCCAAGAGTGGCTGTATCCCTGGGCAGCAGCGTACTTCCCCATGTGGCAAAAGTGGCTTGAAGGCTGGGAGGTTGGATTTCCAGGGGAGCCCCAACCGGCCAAATCCCAGAGGGAGTGCGACATTACTGCCTTCGCTGCTATTTGCTCCTGTCCCCTTGGCCTTGATCTTCGAAGTCAACTCTCTACCTCACGCTGGCGGGCGCCGGGCATGTTTACTTACCATCTGTCGTGCTCTCCTCTGAAGCCCGGGCGCTCCTGCCTTTTACAGCCTGGGTCCCTTGCTTGAAGCAGAGGAAGGGGAGAGAAGGTGGTGCTGAAGCAAAGCTGCTATTTCAGTCTCCTCTTGCTTCCAGCCCCACTTCTGTGCCCGTTGATGACCAAAGGCAGGGCTGCTGAAGGAGTGTGTGCCCCCTTCCCCCCCACCCCCCATGTTCTGTGCTACCAGTTTGCTCCCTGCTGCAGCTTCTTGAAGATGGTGTGTGAGGCCGTGGGGAGGCCCGTCCAAGAGGTCCCCCCTTTGCTGACCCAGAACCCTCCAATCTGGGCAATGGAGGAGTCCTCTTGGAGGTTCTCCCGGGCTTTCAGAACTTGAACTCCTTTCTGGTTGTCTTTGACCCTTCTTTTGTACATTTCTTAGGCGGTTTGGACATTTCAGCTTTTTTTATTTGATATTTGTTACAGACTCATGGAAGGTGACTTGATCAGAAGGATTGTTTTCTTTTCTATTAAAAAAAAAAGTCATCCCTGAACTTCACAGGGTGAGGTAGTCGGTCGGTTTTGTCAGTAAAACACTTCTGGACTTGTGCACTGGGGGCAGAATCAAGGGAACTCCAACAGGCACAGCTCGCTCTTCTTCCTGGTCTTCACCGGGCAGTCCAAGATGTCCCCAAGCTGTAGACTAGCCTTCCCCAATCTGGCCATCTTTCAGATATGCGGATGTCAACAGGTGTCGGCTGCCAGAGTGCTTAGCGCTGGCCATGCCAGCTTGGAATTCTGGGGACTGCAGTCTAATCTTTCCGAGTTGGGGGAGGTGGCAAGAGCCGTGCACATAAATCCTTAAAACCTGCAATGTCCCCTCCCCAAACGGGCATGAGTCGACCTACTCAGCGTTTCCCATTCAGCCAACTGGCTTCCGTACCGGCAGGATGTGAAGAAAGCGACAGCCTTCTCGTCCTGCTGCTCGGCCTTCTTACCATTTAGAGATACCGTTCGCCGGCTTTTGGGCATGGAGGCCTATTCCAGCTAACGACGCTGCCAACATTTGCCACCCAAGTTAGTGACTCTGGACATGTTCCACTCAGCTAAGCAACCAGCTGCTAAATCTGCACGATTCTTAGCAATTGACCAGGCAGCCTTTCAATAATGGAGGAGGCATATCAGTACTTCAGGTGTTTTAAAATGCCCCCCTCCCCCGTTATACAGGGACTTTTTCCCTCTGAAATGCTAAAAAAGCATGCAGTTTATGTGCCTTGAATGTAGAAAGCAAGCAGGCTGTTGGATAGTGTGGTGGTGAAAGGTACCCCCTCCCATACGCTGTGAGCTGCATTCAGTACCAAACCTGTCAGATGCCCCCCCCCGCCCAAACATCTTAAAGTGCTCTTTACGGAAGGCTTTCTTCCAACAGCCACCATGCTCCTTTTCATGTGTATCCTGGTTCCTGGTTGGGCAGCTCCAGATGACGCTGGAGGGGGGCACTTCAAGGAAGAGGGAAGAAGTGTCTCCCACTGGTAGGATTTACTGAATTTCCCTAAAGGAGGTCTCCGAATATACGGGATTTCAACCCTCAGAATCCCTAACAAGGAAGGGGAAAAAAATGGCTACGGATCCCGGGACTTTCTGAAGGGCCTAGTTGGAACAGTGGTTCTTCCATAGGTGAAACGTGTGTACACAGTTCCTTCTCTTGGCTCTCAAACTCGTGGGTGAAGCCCAGTGTTGTCCAAACTTGGCCACTTTAAGATGAGTGGACTTCAACTCCCAGAATTCCCCAGCCAGCATGGACAACACTGGTGAAGCCGGTTTAAAGGAATTAACTATGCTACTGTTCTGAAAGGTCTCGCATTAGCAGTGAAGCAGGGGGGCTCTTGTTTCATGTGGCTGCTTTGCAAAGCTTTGGAAAAAGTGCTTTGGTTGTTCTTTAAAGCTGCGGGTCTTTTCTCGGGCTTCCAGAGAATGAGGAGGCTGCTTTAAGGAGCTGGCTCATTAAAGTTAACGCAACTTTCAAAGCAATGTCTTTTTTCCCAGCTGGCCCAGAAACCTGGCAAAAAAGGCCCATTGCTTTCATGAAGAGCAGGGAAGCCCTTCTTTCAAAGTGTTTCTGGAGCATGGACAGCTTTCCCGTGTGGCAGAAGGCTGAACCCAAGAAGCTGGCTTGCGTCAACGTGACTCACTGGCCCCTCCAGCCCACTGCTGCCAACTTAGCAAGGGGAAGAGAGCTCTCCTAGCCCTCCTGCCTCCAGGTGCAAAGAAACAAGTCTCTTGGCAATGTCTTCTCCAACAGGAGGAAGGAAGTTCTCCCCTTGGGGCTTCAGCAGGGTGCCAGCGTGCCCACAGAACCTCTCTTGGTATGCTCGGCTGGCTCCCTGCCTGATCTCACTCTTCACGTGTTGAAAACACAGTAATAAAAAGGGGAAACTGGCCAGCTGGAATACAGAGCACTCACCTCCAGGCTCACCTTGAGTTCCAAGAACGCCAGTGGGCTCTGGAGCTTTCTCAGGGTAGTAAAAATGGTGGCACCTCCTCCCCTTCCCCCCAAAAAGAGGACACAGACAAGCAAGAGGGCTGAGGACAAACCAGGTTGCTGCTGCTGCTGCTGCAGCTCTGAAATCTGGGCTGTCTCATACCATGGAGTCTGAAGAGGTCTTCACCTGGGCTACAGCGTCAGGCTTGACACAACTGGCTTAGCTGTGGTTAGCTGGGGTGTGGCTCTCCTCAGTTCAGCATTCTGGGTTAGCATCGCACGTGGAATTATAAACTGACACCCTGAACTGGGTTTGCCCAGATGCAAAGGTGAAATGTGGTGAGCTTGGCGTGTTGTGAAATACAGGCAATATGGTGACTCCAAGGAGGGCTACTTTGGGGCCCCAGCCGGGGCCTGGGGGCTCCGGTGCTTGTTCGGTCGAAGCGGCTGCCTGCCCTGTGCTGGGACGGGGAGGCGGGAAGGGGGTTGCCAGCTCTCCTCCTCTGACACCAGCCAAGCCTTGCTTGTTTGGCTTCTGCTGGAAAAGAGCCATAAAGGCAGATCTTTTTCCTCCTCTGCTGCCGGCCAGAAAAATAAAATGCCCATTTTTTGCACTGAGGGGGCAGAGTGCTGAGCTGTGCATTTCTATTGAGATGGGTGCAAGGAAGAGTTGATCCCTGCTTTCTCCTGCACTCTGAAGGGGGTTCCCTCCAGGGCTGGATGGTCCTAAGGAGGCGCGTAGCAACGGCAAGAGAACAGCAAGCTGACTTAAGCCCGCTCACGCCCGTCCACCTGTGTGGTGGCCTCAGCAGCAGGGCGACTCGCTCTTGCTCCCTCCTGAGATGGCATCTGACTCGCCAGTTTGGCTTTCGGCTCCAGGGGTTTCCAGGGGCCTCCCATCCAAGCGCTGGCCAGGTCTCGCTTTGCTTAGCTTTTGGGGATCCCCCAAAGTTGGCTCAGGTTACCCCGTAGCATTGCCCACAGAACACGTTGAAATCCTAGTTGTTTGTGGTCACTTTGTTCACGATGAGCAGCTTTAGCGTTTTTTTAAAAATTAAATTTACCCGTCAACGTTAACCTTGATCGTGAGTATTTTTGGCGGCTTTGTGTATTTTGTGAATGCAGCCCACATGGCTGTGACTTGAGTGAGCCAAGCAAGCGGGTTAATTCTGTAGCTAGCGTTGTGTGAACCCTGGAGACCAAATTCTGAGTGACCGCAAGTGGTATCCTGAGATCTAAACAGCTCTGACTGCAGCTGTCCTGAGGACCAAATTGCGTGAAATCCTGAATAGGCACACGTGGTTGCCACGTATCCTCCTTGGGCACGGGGGTTTAAAAAAAGTACAAATATTTTGATCACCTGTTGCTCAGCAAAGAAGGTAAAACTTGTGGAAGAGGCAGAATTTGTAGGTGGCAGCCAAGGATGGGTTTTGAAATGCTTATAAGCAGCAGTAGTCCCTGCAGTCGGGTATTTTGGGGGGTCAAAAAAGTCAAGATGCCGTCCACAACAGCATGATTGAATCCCTGCCTGTTTTTTACATGCATCGTGCAGGCAACGCACGTGAAAAGGGGACAGGGATTCAGTTGTGGTCACCATCTTGACTTTTTTGACCCTTCCTTTCAGACACGCTACCTGAACACCATCCTGTAAGGAAAATGTGATGGTGAAAAGTTTGCAAGGATGCAGCCCTGAACAGAACACCCCGTGCTCCTAAAGTAGAATCAGTTACCGAAACCTGTCTCCTGGATATTTATGGGGCGGCCAGTTGATCGAAATGTGGGTTTCCCTCCAGCTGTCAGAAAAAGGGAAAGACCCAGAAGGGCTGTGCCGGCAATCCTTAGGAACTGAAAATCAAATGGGTAACATTGTACTGCCTTTGTGCGCTTTCAGGTTGATGCCGTGTTTAAAACATGGTCTAAAGTTTGTCCCTCCTCCTCTCACAAGGGACCCTAAGCTGAAAAGGAAAGGGATGAGCAATGTTTTTCAACCCTGGCAACTGTAAGATGTGTGGGCTTCAATGCTGGCTGGGGAATTCTGGGACTTGAAGTCCACACATCTTAAAGTTCCCAAGGTTGAGAAACCCTGGTCTACACGAAACCCTTCACCTGGCTCCTGAATTAATCCATTCTCTGAGTTTGCACAATAAAACGTACGGGGCCATCTCTCCCCAGGGGCATGTACCCGTCCTGATAGGACTGGCAGGAGAGGCGTGCTCCGCCCGCTCCCCTCCGTACGAGAGCGTCATCGGTCGGGACCCAGGGGGTCAGCCTTTCCTGCCAAGGCGCCCACCCTTGGGAACACTGTCCCCCCAGAAACTAGACTTGCCCCGACCCTCCTGGCCTTTCTCAGGGTGCTAAAAACCTGGCTTTGCCATCAAGCCAGGGGCCCTGATAGCACGGGCAAGCCCATGTCACAGCTTGTTGGAGTGTTTGAGTCTTCTCAGCTATTTGTATGTCATTTTTGTTGTTTTAACTGGTTGTTTTTATTCTGTTTTAATGGCGAGCAGCCAGAGTCACGTGTATGAGGTGGGTGGCCTGTCAATTATAGATGGAGGTAGAGGTGGGGGGGTATAGAGATAGATAAGATTAGATAGAGTAGAGATTATAGACAGACAGACTTCCTTGAATCTAGCTTGATGGCCAAGGACTGGATGGAGTGTGGCATCAGTGGCTTCCTGAATCCCCCCCCCCCACCATCGTGGGATTTCCTCGTGATCTCCCATCTAAACCCTAGCCAGCTCCAACCTTGCCTAGCTATCCTTGAGAACAGCCCAGGGCAGGGGTTTCACCTGCTGTGATTTGTGCAATAGGTGGAATCATAAACTAACCACGCAGGCTGGGTTTGCAGCACTGTCCAAGTGGGCGAGGGGGGGGGGAGAGATGTCAGGGGGGGAATATGTAAGGGCAGGATTTGCATCATTACCTCTGATGCCATAATCTCAGTTTGCTGCAGAAGCCCATGCTAAGATTAACACCAAGATAGCATGTGAGAATGCAGCCGCCCAGTTTTTAACTGATCTGGTCAAGCGGGTCGGAGAGGGGGAAGAGCCACGGAGATTTGAAATCCATCTTGGCGTAATCTGGGCTTCCAACTACAA